AAAAAAGATTATCAATTTATTAATTGATAATCAATTCAAGATCTGAATTCAGATCCGAATCTGAATCTGAATCTGACGGATCAGATTCAAATCCAAATCCAAATCTGATGGATCAGATCTGAATCCAAATCTGAATTTGACGGATCAGATCTGATCCGAATCTGAATCTGAATTAGATCCAAATCTGACAGATCTGATCTGAATCCGATCTGTCAGATTTGGATTGGATTCAGATTGATCCAAATCCGTGCGGAACACTAATATTAACATTTATTAGTCCAATTATATTCAATTTCTTTCTTTGTTATATTATTCAAAAGTTTAGCGACCTTAGAGAAATCCTTGATAAATTTTCAGTAATATAATGCCAATCTAAGAAATTCTTTTTGTCTTATATTCTTTAGTACAGGAAAATCTTAAACTTTTTTATTTTTTGAGGGTTTAGTAGGATTCCATATTCATTAATTTTATATTTTAAGAATCGTAATTCTATTTTAAATATTTTTACATTTTTCTTTATTCAAAGCTAAATTCACTTTCTTTAATTTGTGAAAGAGCATTTGAAAGTATTCACAATGTCTTAAAAATATTTGAATAAACAATAATATCATTAATGAAGACTGTTATAAATTAGTCAATATATTCTTTAATACTTTATTCATAGTTTTCTAAAAGTTGCTGAAGCATTACATAGACCAAAAAGCATAACATTAAATTTATAATATCCTCTTTTAATTATGAATACAGTTTTCTTTCTGTCCTTAGAACTCATTTTAATTTGCCAAAATCTACTAACTAAATCAAATGTTAAAAATCATTTTGCTTTATTTAAGTTCTCTAAAATTTCATCAATTCTAAGCAAAGAATAAATATCTTTTTTTATGAGTTTATTTAATCCTTTGTAATCAATATATATTCTTTTCTTTCCATTTGCTTTTTTTACAAGTAGGGATAGGAACAGTTCGATTTGGTCTAATCTGATCTGATCATTAGTGATCTTTAAAAAAAGATCAGATCAAGACTAAGATTAATAGTCTTATAAAATCATCAATCTTTGAATTTAGACTGGTCTTTTAGACTATCACTCTAATAAAAAAATTTAATAAATATGTCACAAAAAAATATTTTTATTGAATAATATTTATTAAATTCAAAATTACTATTACTCTATATATTAATATATATTCTATTCATACTAATTATCTTAAACTACTATAATTTTACCCTCTGACTCTTCACTTTTTTTTAAATTTTCATATTTAATTTGTCCTTCAATAATCCATTTTAAATCTAACTCTTTAAACAAAAGCATACTTCAGCTATTTTAGAATGTAATTTATTGCGTGTTTTGTAATTGTATTGCCAGTAATAGAAAAAACTTACTCTAAAGCAACACTTATTACTTGTATTACTAAATAATCACATTGATACCATGGTAAGTCAATCTTGCTGTACTACAAAGATTGACGAATGATCAATGTTATTAACATCATTAGCATTTTTAACTTATTTTATTCTTATATTTTATTATTATTATTTATTATATTATTATCATCGTTAAATTATAATTTATCTTTTATATTTATCTTATCATTATAAAATAGTTTAGTATTAGATAGTAATTTCTTATAATTGTATTTTTGTATAAATAGGATAGAAATTTGTCTTTGCAAAAAGGCAGAGATAACAGTGTAAACTCAATAATACAAGTTCAAAACTTAGAATCCAAGGTTAAGGATTGCTAAGAATACAAATCTCTACAATAAAAAAATCTCTTTCTAAACTACACATATTAAAAATTCTTTAACATGTTAATTGTATTTATCGTATTTATAAGTTATTAAAGTTATTTTACTCGTCTAAAGTATAAACCTAAGGTTGATTATAATAGGACTTATTTCACAGTAACTTAGTAATTTCTCGCACGTTACTCCCTGTTATTAAGTTATAGTTATCCTAAGTTTGACAGACTGAGCGTAAGGTTAACAATACATATATTTTATTTTTCTAATATATAATAAAACTCTGAATCTAAAAATCCAGATTATATTATTAGATTTTTAGATTAATATTAGGTTAGATCTATTATCTGACCTGATCTGATTTAACAAAATTTAGATTAACTAATTAAATTATATTATAGATAATAAAAAAAATTATTTAATTATTTTTTTTTTAATTCAGTTTAATTTTCAGATAGTTATCTAATCTTAAAAAAGGTTTTTCTTTGTTTAAATCAGTAATTTACAACATTTAAGAAAATAATCAATTATACTTTTTAATTTATTTTTATTTTTTATTTTTTTATTTATTAATTACTTATTTTATTTTTTTATATTCTTTCCTTCTTAATCTTTTAATTTTTTATTTTAATTATTTTCTTTTTTTCCCTTTCTTTCAATTTTTATTATTTTTTAATTTTTCTATTTTTTTATTTTTAATTAATTTTTTTATTTTTTTTTTGATTATTTTTTTAATTATTTATTTCATTTTTTTCTGTAATATTCTTTTTTCACCCTCTAATCTTTTTTTTTTATATTCTTTTTTTCTCTTTCCAATCTTTTTATTCTTTTATTTTTTAATTTTAATTATTTTTCTTTTTTTTGATTATTATTTTTTTTAATTATTTATTTAATTTTTTTATTTTTTAATATTATTTAATGAAATAAATTTCTTTTTGAATCAAGTCAGATCAAATAAACCTGATCTGACATGTCTTCTGATCAAATTACATATATCACAAATCTGTGACTTGTATTTTTTTTTTATTCATTCTGAAATATAATGTCTTTTTATTCCATTTATCAATCCTATTATTGTGCTATGTTTGAAATAGATACACCTACTTTTACTTCTACCAAGTTAAAGTAGTTTAAAAATATAAAATGAATGAACATATCAATTTCTTGCATAAGGAAGAAAACTCAGAGGTTAGTGAAACAGCTATCAAAATTTTAGAAAAGAAAGGGTTAATACTGTGATGACTATGTCTTTCTTAAGATAACTAAAGAAGAACTTCAAAGTTATAGAATACCAGGTAGTCCTGTAATAAATCTTGTAAGACTTTGCTAAAGAATGCAAAGAAAAAAAGAAGTGCTCGTTCTTTTCATATCGCAGTTTGAAAGAGATGTTGGCAAAATATGACATTGACTCCAATAGTACAAAACTATTCCTGCAGACCCATGAAATTCAAGACATCAACAAGCATTTTAAATATTGTATGAATGATATTTTATTCTGAATAAAATATTATGGATAATGATGAGGGACAAAACCCCTTAATAACAGTCGAAACTTAGACGAAACTATATTAAAATCATAATAAGAGATATAACGAAACCCTTTCGATATGACGAAAGCCGAAACTGCCAAAACTATATTAAAAACATAGAAAAGGGTATGACGAAATTATTTTGAAAAGGTTTCGGCAGGCATCTATAATTATGGATTAGTCATAATTAGTTTGAAGTTCATGCGTAATGAATACATCTCAATCATATTCCATAACTTTCTTCATATCACAAAAGAGTTTTAGCATAAGATTTGATTCATGATATACTCTTATATAAAGAGATGCTCGGTTAGAAGAATCTTAGCATCAGATTAGTCTGATGTTTAGTGATAAATAAGTAAAGTAAGTGTGATATTGGTCACGCTTTGATCTAAATTTTTATAATTCAAGGTGTTATTTAGTCAATACATTAAAATTTCTTATGATTATGATGTCATTTTATTCTGTAAAAAGTAAAAAAAAAACTGTAAATATTATTGCATAACTTCCTAAATTATTATTCTATTATAGTAATAAATTCATTGAGATTAGTTTATTTTAAAGAGATAAAATGTTATTTTAAAACTTCTTTTCTAAGCTTTTTAATAGATCTTAACTCTTCCTTTTTCATGCTAAAAGATTTTTCTTCCTGCTTCAAATATAAAATTACTTTATTATAAGCCTTAATAACTTTACTAGAAGTAATTATTGATGATAAAAAATCTTCCTCTCTTTCATTTTCTTAATAAGGTAAAACTGCTTTTAAAATTTCTTCATCAGATATTATTTTGTCTGTAATCTCAGATTTATCATACTTAACAAATTCTTCAGTGAAAAAAGATTGTCAAAATCTAGTTTATTGATTAATACTTGAACTTCTTCCATTTCTTTTAACCGTTTAAGTTCAAGTAATATATCATTACCAGTTTCATCATCATTTTCATCAATTATATTTAAGTAAAATATCTGTTTTTACCCAATAATTTTCAATTGTTTTATTTGTAACGTTATCCCATACTTGTGTAATGTATTTTATATACTTTTTAATATCAATTTCAGAGGGTATTCATTAAATTTATCAAAAGCTTTAATCTGATTTTGTAGATAAAGGTTTTGATATTATGCCTAAAATAAGTTGAATTAGAATTAAGTATAAATAAAATTAATGTCAATTATATTTTAACTAAAGAATTATTAAATCAATTACATTTCTCACCTTAAAACTATTTATGATACCTTGATCACAAGGTTGGAGGTGTGCAATGGTATTTGGAAAGAAGGATTAAATAGTGATATTAGTCAGACAGGTGGTTTCATAAAGAGCATGTGTTAAAGCATTATCCACAAGAAGGATAATTTTCTGATTTTGTCTTCTCATTTTTGTATTGAGTTTTTTGTGCAATCATTTTAAATTGAAACCTGCATCTAACTATTTTAGTTCTAATAGTATTAAACTGAAAGCATTTTTTTATCAATATTCTTAATAACCCTAGGATTTTTATACTTGCATATAAACAAAAGCGTCAGCTTTTCATTCCTGTTACATTGCATGTGAGTAGAATCATTACACAATCCTTTGATTATTTCTTTCCTGATGTTTGTTCATTGGATATCGTTTGACATAATTTCATCTTCTAAAACAGTCCTGTTTCATCACAATTAAATATATCTTCAGGACTATATTCTTTTAATATTTGCCAGAGATTCTCTTTCATTATTTTAAAATCTTCAAGCGGCGTACTTGCAGCTTTCCTGTGTATTTAAGGTTGTGTCATTTTTTAAAGTTGTTCACCTAACCACTAAACCCTTTAAACTTATCCTCCTTTAATAAAAAAGCAAAACTTAAGGCTTTTGTTGAAAGAATATTGTCAGTAATAATAAGGTTAGCTTTGAGTGCGTTATCTACCTATATTACTAATGCTTCTTTAACAAGAGGAAATGGAATTTTCTTATCACGTTTCAAATTGGCTTGGTATGAATTGGTATCCACAGAAAGCCAACAGTCTTTCTCCTTTAAAATATCACTTACCATGACTTCACTAATGTCATATTTATTAGCCAAATCTTTTTGTTTTAAAAAAGGTGATGATATTTTTTTCAAATAAAGTTCTTTTTTTATGCAACTGTAAGAGACTTTCATTTTTTTTAAAGGTTTATCTTGTTTGTTAATAGGTTGATTAAGTTGTTTCTTTGAGTTTACTTTTGGCATTATTGGCATTATGCAAAAAAAAAAATGCGTAAAAAATATAAGATATAATACGTAATGTGAATATTTATTCATTTTTAATTTTATTTAAAAACTAGGTACAAAGAACTATAAAATTTTATATACATAAATCTAGTAAAATTCATTTTAA